TGGCTAAGCAAGTTAAAGTGCTTGCCATCAAACCTGACAACCTGTGCGTCCCTAGGACCCATGCTGTAAAAGGAGAACAAGTGATTTCTATAGGTTGTCCTCTGATCTCCACAAGCACACACACATACTAAATACATTTTTTTTAAAAGTGACTTTAAAAAAAGAAAAAACATGGCTCTATTGCACCCAGCACCTGGAATCAGGAAACAGTCCCTTAATCTGGTGTGGGGAATGTTAGGTTAGGACCTCTCTGACAGGGAGGGGTGGGGGTGGGGACAAGCCTCTCATAATCAGTCAGCATCACTGGCCAAGTTTACTAATATTTACTGGGGCAGTATCTGGATTGCCACAGCCTGAGCCAAAGGGTCTGCCCACCCAGGCAGGCTACAATAGGTCATGTGTCCCCAAACTTCCGGCCAGGACACTTGCTGCTCTGTCCAGCTGTCTGCCCTGTCCAGCTGTCCAGCCCCTTGGCGCTAGAGCTGAGCTGGGTGAGGCCCTGGCTCAGTTGGGAGGAACGAGGCACCTCTTTGAAACTCCCCAAATGAGGTCACCTCATAGTGATGAGGCCAGCACGATAGGCACCCGCCCAACCAGCCTGGTGAAGCAGCCAGCCCATGAGGAAGCTGTGTGGGACGGACATGCCAGGGTGTCGGAGACTGAATGCCATCCTGGGTTGTGAGCATGTCAGGGTGTTGAGGACCTCTTCTGGTGGGCTGTGAACTCACGAAGGCCTGGGGATGGCTCTCCTGCTCTTCTGCCTTCAGGGTGTCTGAGACTTGCCTCTCTTCAAGTGCAGGTAGGTGTTTGGGTGCACAGCAGAAGCCTATATCAGCACCTGATACCACTTGTCTTAGGCTACATAGTCCCTAATCTAGGATTTACGAGTTAGGTCAGACCTGGATCCTTCTTCCCCTCAGCTACAGCCTAAGCAAAGCAAGAGGCCTGGGACAGAGGAGGATCTATGCGCCCCACCTGATTCTCTGGATTCTTTGCTGTCATCCCAGCCTCAGCCTCCCTGAGCTATCCTCTCTATCCCTGGTTCCCATTTTCTGCAGCTGCACCGTACTGGCTCACAGGTGCTAGCAACCTAGTCAGTGCTGCCACCTACAGTAACCTCCTTGCTCTGCTTAAGTCCTCAAGGCCCTGTTCAGGGGTCATCAAATATGGACCTGCGATGTAGCCCGTGCAAATGCCCGCCAGAACCAGCCAAGGCAGTCAGATGATGCTAAGGACAGAATCTCCTCTGAGCCATTCCTTAGCTAAAAGCATGAGCTTTTCCAGGTGGCCAGAGATACCATCCCTAGTGGCCTCTAAGACACATGGAAAAAGAGAGTCCAGGTGAAGACTGAAGACAGACGGCAGTGATGGGGCCACAACCTAAGGACACTGGGGTCCTCTAGGGCTGGGAGCAGAAGGAAAGACCCTCTGGTCTGCGGGGAGCAAATGTGGACCTGTGTGTGGTTAAGGCCCCATCTGAAGAGTCATGGGACCAGCAGGTCTAAGGGCAGCCCTGGTGATCTCCCCCACGGGCACGCAGATGCAGCAGCTAGCAGTGTTTTCCAGGACCGCTCTTTTCAGGACTGGGAGTTGTAGATGGAAGTGACATGAATGGGCATTTGCACTCTGGGACGTGGGCAGAGGCTCCCTGGTGTTCCTCGGATATTGGTGGGGAGTCCGCTAGAAGCACTGCCAGGGCCAGGGCCAGGCCCGAGGGCAGGTTTTCCTGGCCTCCCACACAAAAGCTGTGTGGAAGCAGTGAAACAGCGGGGAAACGGGAGTGTCAGATGACCCTGTCTCCACCTCTGTCCTGAGGTGTGCCTCGGGGAGACAGCTGGAGGGGCAGTCGGCCCGGCAGGCCACTAAGGTTTCGGCAAAGGCAGGCTGAGGGCCCACCTGCTCACCCAGGATCACCCCCTTGCCTGACTACATATGCAGAGACCCTACTGCCACCTCTACATTCTTGGCGGCCAGCTTGAGAAGCCCCGTCCTGGATCCCATCCTACACAGAATCAAGCCCCTCACCGGCCTAGGGACTGGACCCCTCCCCCACACTGCAGCAGAGCTGGGAACAGCTGGCCAGGGGGGTAGGCCTTGTTTGAGTCTCAGCATATAATAGCCACAGGAGCCACCTGCCCTCTGATCCCCACAGGAACATGGGGTCTTAGGGTGCCAGTCCAGTCAGAGCCTGAGCATGTTGAGACCCAAAGGCGTCCTCAGGCTTGCTGGGGGCACCCTGCTGAGGACAGAAGCCGCCTCGCCTCCAGTATGTACGGGACTGGGAGGGCTGGTGTAGGCAGGGCTAAGACACTGGAGTCTTGGGAAGGGAGTTAGCTGACACTGGAGTCATTGAGGCACCCACAGGGAGAGTGCGATCTGCCCCGTGCACCACATATTGGGTTGTTATGGACAACATCTGGGCTCCACCTGTGAGAGATGAGTCAGCATGTCCACATGTTGGCACAGAGGCTCCACCCAGGCACTTAAAAGTGACTTGGACTTGACAGGTATTCCTAGGCCTCATTCTTCAGTCACTGGAGACCAAGAACTGTCTCTATGTTAGCGGCCGGTGTGCCCTGGGCAGTAACTTCCCGTCGGGACTTCAAGGTCCATATTTGAAAAATAATTCCACATAGACAGGAAACCATGCCAGGTGAACCCTAGGGCCCTGGAACACCTGCCAGGCCAGTGCCAGCTGGTGGGTGGAACCAGGCCAGTCTGGGGTGGAAGACTGTTGGTTCTGCCTGCAGGGGAAGGCCTGGAAAGTCACCACTGGCTTTGAGCAAGCCTGGGCCAAGATGCTCATTCACAGTGTCTAGGTGGCTGGCAGGAAGCCCAGAGCAATGCTGGAGACTGTTCTGGTGGCCTGGCCCTACTAACACAGACCCTCTGCAGGACAAGGTCTCCAGCCAGCTGGATCTGGAGATGGCACCCAGTGGGAGATCAGGCCGGAGCCAGGACTCAATAGCCAAGCAATCTGGAGACGGGGGTAGCAGGTAGACCCAACCGGGGAAGTCAGAGCTCCTACATGCCATTCCCACTTAACCCTCACCATGAGGCATGGGATGCCAACGTCTAACTCCTCCCAGGAAGGAGCTGGGACTGCACATTTCAGTAGCTGAGGCGGACGAGCCGGGCAGCATAGCATCTTGTAACCTGCGATGGCAGTGACCGCCTGTGGCTGAATGCCATCTCACCCTTCCATGGCATAGACTCTACCATACAGATGCAGCCGCTGCCTCGGAAGCTGCCACAAGAGCAGTGAGGGTTCTGGCTCGAGGCCATGCAGGAGGAAGCTAGAACGCACAGCCCTTGCCCAGAGGCTGCTTAGCTGCCTCATTTGGAATACTTCAATGACAGCCAGGTGCCTGGGGTACGGCAGCCCGAAGCCTAGGAGCAAATCTGGCTGCTGCCCCAAGTCTACTAGGTGGGCTAGTGAGGACAAGTTCCTTGGGGCCTCTGAGCACCTAACAGTAGCTGGTCAGGAATTTAGGCTCCATACTCATGAGGGGCCACCTCCCCCACCCGGTGACCCCAAAGGGCAAGCATGGAACCTCTGAGAACAGGCAGCCCTGCTCCATGAGCCAGTCCCAAACAGGGGGGTCCTTGAACACTTCATGCTCAGAAAGGAAACCTACCTCTATTCTGGGCCACTCGCCTCCACAGCTGCTCTCCTGATGTGTCTGTCCTCTACACCAAGGGTGGCACGGTCATGGCTCATCTGAGAATTCTGCCACAACACTGGGCACCAGTGTACTGCTGGCCTGTTCGACTCGCCTCACCCATTTGGGTGCAAACACCCTGTTGTGAATCGCTACACTGCTAGTGGTCCTTGCCGACTCTCCCTCACTGAGGCCTATTGCCCACAGGTGGTAAATTAGGAGCCAGAGGCAAGGCCAGCTCAGAAAGCAAGCCTTTCGTGCAAATGATGCCAGCTGGGTTGTCAGGCTAATGTGCCTCAAAACTACCCAAGCACATAATCTTGTGCAGTTACCTGATCTTTTAATAATGTGTGAAATGCATGTTTATAAATGAACTTAACTGGCTCAGATGGAGAGAATCTTTAAGTGGCCATTGCTCAGTGACTCCCAGACACGCTGGGCTGGCAGTAGGGGGCAGCACGCAGGGCTGTCACCACAGATGGGTCAGGATTTCCCGGGGGGACCACCACAGGATGAAGGGTGCATCACTGTCAAAGCCTGATTTCTCCTGCCACCGTGTCCTGTAGCTCTCAAGTGGCAAGGGACAGGGCAGATATGTTGGCAGTCTAGGGACACGACTTGTGGGCAAGAGTAAGCTACTTCTGTACCTAACTTTGAGCCTGCAAAGCAGGCATTCCAGGGATGAGCTCTTCCCCCATAAGGCTCAGTCAGAAACATCCACAAGCCTGACCTTCCAGCACTCTGGGAGGCTAAGGAAGTAGGGGTGCTTCAGGTTGGAGGAAAGCCAGGCCTATTGTAACATCTCATAGCCATTCCTCCCCCACCAAACCTAATAAAAAATTAAAAAAAAAAAAAAAAAAAAAGAAGAAAGCACTAATTCCTTGTGAGGTGTACATCTTTCCTGGATCCCGATCCACAAAGACACAGGCCCAGATCCAGAGGTGTTTTCATTTCTTATTGTACGAGTGTGTGCTTGCACATAGATCTGTGCACTATTCGCATACAGTGGCCACAGAGGCCAGAAGAGGGTACCAGGTCCCCTAGAAATTACAGATGGTTGTTAGCCATCATGTGTGTTCTGTGAATTGAACTCTGTCTGGAAGAGAAGCCAGTGCTCTTAACTGCCATCCATCATTATTCCGTCCCCCCCACCCCAACCATTTCCTAAGGTCTTTCCACAGTAGCAAAATATTTCCAGGGCCCCACAGTCAAACAGTTCTTTTCTAGGAATGAGCTTTCACAGACTCATCCAAGTGTGAAAGTCTTTGATCCAGCCACTCCAGAGTTCAGTCCAGCAGAGTGTGGCCAGCTGTGGGCTGTCAAGAAAAACAGTGCTCATTTTGTGTTTCACAACTTTAATAGAATATTCTAACTATTCTGTACAAATTGAAAACACCGTATTCAGTTACAAATGTGTTATTGGGTAAGGCTGAGCACACTCTACATGGCTGGTCACTGTGGACATGCCTGTCCCGGCTACCAGAGACCCCCAACCACACACTCGGATAACCCACACACACCAACCACAAACTGGTCACCAAACCCAGGTGTAGGCCTGGTATGCACAGTACAAGCTGAAGCTGTGCTGTACAGGCCGGAGATTCCCTGCACCCTGGCTACAGCCTGGCACCCTCCAGTGGGACAGTAACAGGTAGTCTGCATGGCACAGAACAGTTGGTGGCAGGAAGCAGCAGGGCTTCCTCCACAGGCCTCACTCCACTTGTCACATCCTTCTGATCAAGTCAGCAACGTGGTCTCATAAGTGGGAGGACAGTAAAGTTCAAAGCCCCTCCCCCCCCCAAGCATGAGTGAATAAATAAGTACAAGGATGAACCCGACAGCTCTGGCCTCAGAGGTGTGTGCCACAACCCACCCACCCCTAAAACCAAAACGAAGAAAACAAAATGCTCTAAGGCGAGCACAGCCTCCTCTACAGTGCTTGGGAGATGGCTAGGTACAGCAGCTGGAGCAGCTTCCCACACAATTCAGCGGCTGGAAAACCATGGGACCTCTTCAGTAGGGGAGGGCTATGTGCACAGAATCACTAGGGTCTGCCAATCCCAGGCACAACCCCAGCCCAGCCCAGGCCACATGGTCTTCAGGGACCAAGGCTACAGGTGCTACAACTAAATCTCCTATTCTGAACTGCAGCCCAGTCTCCACTGTACAAGTTAAGCAAAGTAAGAAGGGAAGGGGGAAGAGGGAACATGCACTTGGAAATGGTTAGATGTCACAGCACTGTCAACAAAATTCTGCTTCGGCAGGGACTGAGGCCCCTGCCTGCGGCCTGGGGTCCTGACAGCCGTCCACAAGGCAGCCCCACAGGGTCGCTGCTTCTCACTGCTGCTTGCACTCCGCTGGTTGGCTGGGTTCTTTCTGCAAGGAGAATACAGGATTTGAAGAGAATAAAATCAGTACCACTATCAAGCCTCCCCATCCCACAAGAACCAAGATTCAGTAAGTTCATTCCTTCTTAGCAAAAAGATGGCTCCCACAAACAGACTGTGGTCCAGGAGTTTGCTTTTCTGTTCTAATGTAAAGTCTAACTCAGAATGTGCTAGGCAGAAATCTGCTGGGGCCACAGAAAGGAACTAGCCACATGAGAGGCTTTGCTGCTAGTACAGATCATACCTGCCTCTGCCAGCAACCTCCTCTCTCTCAGGGGCAGCTCTGTCCTGGGTATTTATGCAGGGAAGGCTGTCCTTCCCAGCAGGCCGGTTTTCTCCACTAACACTGGAACAGATTCAGTCCCAGTGGCTCATGGTATAGGAGCAAATGGGCAGAGGCCAGCTCCTGTGAAGAGCCATGTCTAGATCACACCTGTCTGAGGAGCAAGGTGACTTCAATCTAACTGAACAGACAAATCTGGTGCCTTTAAAACACATTCAGGATCTGGGAGCTTTGTATGGAGGCCAATGAAAGCCTGAGAACAGACAAGGATCTCACTGCTACCTCAGAGCTAAGACATGTACTCTATTCATCTGCTACCCAGGATCCCTGCGAGCTACAACTAAATATCTCTGTAGCTGTAGCACATGGTGGTATAACCTGTAATTCCAGGCTAAGGCTGGGAAAAGCAGGTCCAAGGCTAGTCTGACCCACACAAGTGAGACTCCCCATGTCTCCGTAAGTAACAAGAACTGGTGATGCAGCCCAGCAATGGAGTACTTGCTTGGCTTGCCCAAGGCCCTGGGCTTCTCCTCAGCACCACATCAAAAACCAGTTATTTTTAGACACTTTTTTTGTTTGAGACAGGGTCTCATTATGTAATCCTGACTGTTCTGGACCTCACTATATAGACCAGGGTGGCCTTGAACTCAGAGATCTGCCTGCCCCCGCCTCTCAAGTGCTAGGATTAAAGGTATACTCTTATTATGTGCACACGTGTTTTGGCAACATGTATGTTTGCACACCATGTGCGTTCCTAACATCAACAGAGGTCAGAAGAGAAGGTTGCTTGGAACTAGTTATAGACAGTTGTAAGCTGCCAAATGGGTGCTGAGAACTAAAACTTTCTAAGAGCAGCCTGTGCTCTTAAGCTGAACCTATCTCTCCAAATAAAATAAAGTAAATTTATTAAAAGGTGATTATGGCTGGGCATGGTTATGCTGGCCTTTAATCCCAGCCCTCAGGAGGCAGAGGCAGGTGGATTTCGAGGTCAGCCTAGTCTACAAATCGAGTTCTACATTGTCCAAGACCCCCTGGCTGTCCAAGACAGCCAGGGCTTTTTACAGAGAAATCCTAACTCAAAACAAAAAAGTAATTCTGACTGGCTATGGGGAATTAAGAAAAGCCTGTATTACATGAACATGTGGGATAACACCAGAAGTACCTTGAGACATCACACTTCAGAGGCAAAAATATACATACAGTGCCAAGGCACAAAAGGGAACTTGGCTTGGTCTGACCTCTACTTTTCTTCAATTAAACAATGTTATTTATGTGTGTGTTATGTCTGTGTGAGAATAGGCATCAAGATCCCCTATAACTGGAATTACAGATGGTTGTGAGCTACTATGTGGGTGCTGAGACCTGAACCCAGGTCCTCTGCAAAAGTAGCCAGTGCTCTTAACCACAGAGCCATCTCTCCAGCCTTGGAACTTTAATTGTAGTAAGAAGAACACAGGGATATACTGAGCCTTCCAGTTTGGGGCTCCCATCCTACTTGAGTCTCAGGGGCCTTATAAGTAAACAAGGAACCCAAGCCCAGAGATGCTGAACTATTCTCAGTTGTCAATTTGACCAAATCTGGAATTAACTCAAACCCAAGCTGCTGGGCACTCCTGTGGGAGAGTTTTTTTGATTAGATCGTTTGAGGTGGGAAGACCCACCTTAAACCTGGACCACACCTCCTGCTGGCAACTTATGTAAACGATATGGGAGGAGGTTTTTGCTCTTTGGTGGCTTGCCCTCACTCTCTGGCAAGTCCATTCCTTCACTTAGCACTAGAGGCTACTTCTTTGGGATTCCAACGTATACACAAGACCAGCTGAGACATCCAGCCTTGTAGACTGAACAAGGATCAGATGTATGAACTTTCTGCTGGGAGATAGTCATTGCTAGAATAGTTGAATCAGACTGTAAGCCACTAATAAATCCCATTTATAATGGAGAGATTCATTCTATCAGTTGTTTCGCTAGAGAAGCCCAAAACAGATGCCAATCAAGCAAGAGCTGTCAGAAGACAGCCAAGGCTAGATCTAGAGGTAGTCAACACAAGTGGCTAAGGTCACTAACCCACTGACCTAGAGAGCATCAGAGAGGTGGCATGTCCCAAGCAAGTACAGCAGGGACAGGAAAGAGCAAGGCAAGCGATATACACGAGGGAAGAAGTGTGCGCTCTAGGGGTTGGGGTACAACTGGGGTCTACCCCAAGCATAGAGGGAAATAAAAAAGGCATTGCAGGTGGAAAACAGGTAGGCAAGAAGTAGGTACCTCCCAACCACTGCCTCAGAATACAGGCATCCTGCATTTTTTTGTTACTTAAATGAAGTGGCATTTTGGCCACAAGAATATAACATTTTTGTCTTCAATAAAACCAAAACTGAGAATGTAAAATCCAAAACATAGAGCACAGTAACTTAGGGAATGAAGCTGCCGAGAAGCACAATCTATACTATGGTGACAGAAGAGGCCATCAGCAAGGCAGAATGGTAAGGCAGATTTACACGGGGATATCACAGCTCCAGACCCCAACCCTATCAGGCGCTCCTGATGGGGTAAGAAGTTCTTGAAGGGGATTTTGCAAATGGGACACTTACTGGCTTTGTCCTATGATGTCAGAAACTGAACTGTAACTGCACTGTACCATCTGCTCCATCACAAATCATAATGACAATTTGGCCACTCAATACTAGCACTTAAGATGCACAAGTTGGCCAAAACCTTGCCCATGACAGGACTAATATAAGGTGGGGTTGTCCAAAGAACAGTGGGCCTGAGAAAAGTGGAGCTGAGGCCACTTACACTCCACCCTCAGCTGTTCTAGAGAGCAAGGTCCACGCCAAAGCTACCTGCAGGTGAACACCTCCCATGGGATCCTTTAACACTGACAGTCAACTGCACCTAACTGCTAGAGTGAAAAAGGCCCCAGAATGAGCCCACTAAAAGACAACAGGCCAAAGCTTTGTAGGACTCTGCTGTCATTCTGGACAGTTCCTTATAAACTGTTATCTGCATTAAAAAAAAAAAGGCAGGGTCCTACCCATGGGTTGGGACTGAGTTACTTGTGGTATCTCCCACTCTTCCTGGCCCTTTGCTCCTTCCCCTACAGCATTCAGTATATGCAAACGCTTTGAGCAGCCCACAGGAAAGGCCTTGCCACTGGCAAGGGCCTCCCCTTGCTGCTAGTTGCCTACAAGGAAAACAAGGTGCCCTACACCATGTCCTCGACTGGCTTGTCCTCCTCCAAACCAATCTGAGGTGGGACTTTATATTGCCCACACTAACAGGGACACCAGCCCACCTGACCTGATCTTTTTGTTCACTCAACTGGTCTGCACAATGCCTACTACAGTATATAAACCCTCAAAAGACACTGAGACAAACCCAGAGTGACTATAGTCACAGTGTGTCTGAGCCTGTTGCAGTGTAGCCAACAGGTACCTCTCTATCAGGGCTGTGTGTCCAGATTAGCTCCTATGGCCATCTGTCAGCTGCTGACCCCCCCAAAGCGTCATGTTCTGACTGTCATCAGTGACAATGCTCCCAAAGTACAGCTCATTGCCCAGTTAGCAAAACACACCAGGCCCTGAAAACAGGAGCTAAGCCTTACTGTTCTGGTTTTAGAAATGCATTAGCTATACAATAGGAGCCCTATACAAGCGGCGCTCACAAGGCCCAGAGGCAGCCCTAGCTCCTACACAATGTGGTGGACCACACCTTTCTGTGTCCCAGAAGTCAAAGCAATGCAATGAATCAAGTACAGACAGCATTTGGAAGTTAGGTATGAACAGATTCCACCTTACCTAGAAACGCATGAATGATTAACACAAAAATTACACCTAAATGGGGAAAAAAATTGAAAGGAACTGTCAGCATGAAAGAAAATGAAATGTACAAAATTATACAGGTGGCAGCAGCCACATTCTCATGATACAAAAGGCTTCCAGTAGGGGTAAGAGCAGGGTCAGCACAGCAGAGCTGTATTCCTTCCCAAGGTCAGAACCTCATTCCCACTTACAACAAACAACTCCCAGTCAACACTCTGTGCACTTTTTGTGTGCAGATTCCAATTACTCTTCACTTTGGAGGATGCACATAAAGCCACAGAACTATGACATCTTGACCCAAGGACAGCAGGAGCACCCTCTGGACTGCCTGCAAGAGCAGCTCTCCACCGTACCACATTGCCTACACTACTTCTGCAGCATTAGACAATGCAAAAGACCAGGTGTCTGCAGGGCTTTTTACTAATCATGTGATAAGATGGGTGAGACGCTTTCTTCAAAAACAGGGACATGAGAGAAGACAGAAGGCTCTACAGGGTGACAAAGGGAAAACATCAGGAAAAAGAAATAGGAGGAGAGGGATGCAATGGAGGCTAAGTGAGACAAGCACAGCACAGAGGCCAAAGTGCACCAAGTTGGAATGTGCACAAAACAAGCTGCCCTGGTCCTTGCCAACTGCACTCTGACCATGTGTCCATTCAGTGCTCACAGGGCATGAACAGCCAATACTCCAAGGCTCACCATGTAGTACAGTCTCTGTGACCCAAGAGTGACCCTTAGAGGAGAGTGGCATTTGTGACTGTGGCAGCAGTCCACCTCCCGTTTTTCCCTCCAGGAACTTGCCAGGGTGTGCATGCATTCCCAGCAGCACAACAGCCACAGCACGATGTCACTGCCAATAGCAGCTTTTAGCACACACTCCACACAGGGAAAACAAGGACAACAGATAGACACCAGCCAGGCAGAGACGCAGAGCACAGGAACACCAGGCAGGGATGCACTCCAAGAGACCCCACATACTGTCAAAAACAGGGCAGTACAGCTCTGCTAGAGCAGCTCAGGGCATCCTGTCACCGGGTGCCACAGCACCTAACAAGTCTCCTGAGGCCAGAGAAAAACCCAAACTTACACATAAAATAGGTAGAGTAGGGGGTCTTTTTTTAGCTAGTCTTCCTCAATCGTGTTCTCTCACTCACAATGCATATTTGCATGTATATACAAAGCCTAGGACACTTCTGAATCTTCTCAGCAAGTATGAATGGGAAATTCTGACCACAATCTAATGTTCTTTATTACCGCTCACAACCCAAACCAGGCCCTCTGCAGATGCACATGGGTGCTTTCTGTTACAGCATTCCTCTACGAGTTGAAGGTCATGCATGCTCAAGTTTACAGAGTGATCTAGTTGAATCTTTCACCTAATGCTCTAAGTACATGAGTTGCCTTTCCTCAACTATGGATTCTTCTGACATGTGTTATTCTTAGCATCACTGTTTCAAAGTGGAGAACAGCTTCAAAAGCCCCACTGTGGAGTACTGGTAGGCTCAGGAAGCCTCCAAATAACTAACCTTGGGGTTAACATCAGCATCATCCTCATCTTCTCCCTCCTCGTCACCTTCCAATTCCTGTATTAAAAGGAGACAGAAGTAAAGGGTGATGACTAGAGTTGTGGCAAAGGGTAACACCGCAACATGTAGAAAGTGATATACAGCTTACTCGGTACAACACAAGTTCATTCTTACAGACAGAACCAGGACTAAAGACTCACTGCTTAGGAGCACAAAGAGCCCTTGCAGGGGACCAAATTCAGTTCCTAGCACCTATGCCAGGCAGCTCACAACTACTGCATAAGTCTACTTCAGATCTAATACTATCTTCTGCATGACACAGGAACCAGCACACACACATGCAGACAAACGTGCATAAATTTTAAAATCTTTAAATCTTAAAAAAATTTATCTTTCAATTACTCTGGTTTTTTTGTTTTGTTTTGTTTTCATAGAGAATTCTGAAACACTTTGGAAAAATCAGACACTCCTTATTAAACTGTTACTAAGATAAATTTTTATAAGCAAAATCTATGGTCACCAAAAGGGTCAAAATAGTATGAGGGTCAAAATCTATGGGCACCAGAAACAAATGGTTCAAAATGGCAACTGAAACCAAAGCAAGGCCCTATTTTTTAACTTCCTAACTTCAAATAAAGAAGTCAAAGCCATACAAGGTGGGGTAACAATACTGCCTGATTTCTTCCTTACCTCCTCTTCGCCCTCCTCGCCTTCTTCAAACTGCAGGGGAAACAGAAAAACAACTTAAATTTCTAGGACAATGATGTAGCCCAAATGCCAAGCTGATAAGAACCCTGCTAGGCTAACGATAGCATGGAACTTGGTGCTGCTAGAGCACAGCTGGCTCCATCCAGGTGTCCGAGAGGCTCATGCTGTTGTAGCGGGCACAGAGCAACACTGCTGTCTGAGGCTTCTCACAACTGAAAGCTGATCAAAATCAGAGTTAAGGAAGGGGATGGGTAACAAAGACTTGCCCGTGGACATGCTGGATTAGATCCCTATCTTCAGACTAAAACAGGGGCCAAGTGAGGCCATTTGGGAAGAGACTCTCAATTAAGAATGCCCATAAGCAAGCCAGTGGTACACTTTTTTGATTAATGATTGAAGTAGGAAGGCCCTGCTTATTGTATGTGGTGCCAACCCTGGGCTGGTGGCTGTGTGTGTCACAAGAAGCACAAGGCTGAGCAAGTCAGCATCATTTCCTGCCTCCAGGTTCCTAACCTTACTTCCCTGGATAACAGACCACAAGCTGTATGATCAAACAAACCCTTTCCTCCCCAATTCGTGTTTAATGATTTTTTTTTTAAGCACAGCAACAAATACCCACCTAAGACTAATGCTAAACTAAGTTAATCAGCTGTTTAACTGCATACAGAAATTTTTGCATTTCATGGAGGGAGGGAGGAAAGGGGAGGTTGGGTCCTGTGGGGGATGACACACAACATGGACACGAGAGAGGAGCTTTTATTAGGTCTCTTTTTTAAATATTTATTTTACAACACTTATAAAATCTTGGTGTTTAGTCAAAACTACTGTCAAAGCACAACAAGGGCCTTGTGTCTAGCACATTGCTAGTCAGACAAATTCAAGTTCCAAAGAGCCAGTTCCTAAAGGCTGGTTACTCTAGTACCAGGGGCTACTGAATGGGCATATGGGAGAAGGCAGCTAATTTGTCATTTATAAACTTGAGACCATTCGCATATTCCTTTGAGAAAATATGAAAATGCAACTCCAAAAAACCAGAACTTACTGTCCTCCTGGCATCACAAAACAGTGAGGCAGGACCTAGCAGTGCCTTTCTCCCATCACATCCAAGGAGGTTTCTAAAAGGGAGGCCTTTTATTTTTAAGATGAGGGCTTCCCTACATAGCCCAAACTAGCCTTAAAACACTTATTCCATCCCAAGCCCCTGAGTGCCAGGATGATAAATGATAGATGTACGGATCCAAGAGAGAAGTTACATCTGGACTAGTCCAGCATCCAAGTCTTAAGATTCAAGTACAATGTTTCTTTCCTTGGGAGCCTATCTTTAGAAAAAGTCCTCTGGTGAGGTCAAAGGGCTCTGCCCCAAGTGCACTCCCACATGCATGGAGTACACAGGAGGAAGGGCCAGCTGCTTCCCTCTCCAACAATTCTCTATTCTTCGGGTGTCCGGTCATTTCTCACATTTCCTCTAAATGCCTACTGAGTAAGGATGCTGCAGCTACCTCCTCAGTAATGGGGGCAGAAGGGACTACGCAGACCTTCACCTGCTACCTTTAAAGTATATGCTCAGTGTCACATACTCTAGGACCAAACAAGCAAATCCACAAAGACCACAGGTACATGCAGTCTCACATTGCCAGCTCAAGCTTTTCAGACCCTGTGTGTTGAGTATGAAGACCACTGAACTGGGGGAAAGCTTTCCAATGACTTTTTAGCTAACTTCAACCTCAGTTCCATGGTTAGCCTTGATGCTACTATTACCTTGAGAATGGTGCCCTAGAATTACTGTGTAACTAGCCTGTCTTAAAACCCATGCACTATAGGAAACCACCAATGGTAAGCAGTATCCACAACCATCTCCGCCCAAGAAACAAGCAAGGCCTTGAAGCTACACCCACCAGGAGAAGTGTGAGAAGCAGGCCACTGGACCTGCCCGATCTCCTACTTTCACCTACAGCTCCAGAATCGTGAGCTCTTCAAACAGAGAACAACTTGACCTCTACTGACTGTGATAACTTGGAGCAACCCTAGCCTTAGCTACCACGAGGACCTGCACACCAGGTCACATTAGTATGGGCTACTAATACCTGGAGCACAATTCATAGGGCAGGAGCCTCTGCTGCGGGGCTCTACTCTGACACTGGCTAATATGAAGCAAATGCCAGTAACTATCTGCTGTGGCCCAACCTCCCCAAGGAAGGGCTTCTTTCATAATGGACTTTGCTCAAGTTCTCAGGCTTTCCACAGAACAGTTGAGCCCTCAGGTCTTAAGAAGACAAGGCTAAATGAGGCAGCATCTTGGCTTCCCAGGTGACAGGACTGACAGCCTCATGGACACCTCCTCCTCTTAGCCTAACACAAAAGAGCTGTAGGACTCTGGATCTGGATAATGAGGCAATACACAGCTCAGAGCTTTCTAGGCCACAGCGCAGAGTCTCTGAGCACCACAGGAGTAAGCACCCAGGTGACCACCCCCATGCCCCACATACATTGTCATCATCCTCTATGGCCTCCCCAGTGAAGTAGAGGACAGCCCGTGGCACGATGCGCTCACGGAAAAAATGCCCAATTTCAAAGTCAGAGGCTAAGGTGAACTCGGAATCTTCATCCTGAGGGAAAATCAATAGTTAACTCATTTCAGTGGGGTAAAGACATGCTTAGTACCTCCCTCAACCCTTACTTCTGAATCATCTGCACTGCTGGGTAACAGTCACCACATTCAAAGCCATTTAAAGCTACCTTAAAGCTAATGTTCAAAGTATAAGAGGAAATGACATGAAAACAAAACTAGAGAAGATAGGCTGCAGCTCTGCCACTTGTCCTATGTTTCAGAGCCAGGACTTTGGGGTCTCTAGAGGACTAAAAGGCAGGCATGAAAAAAACAAACATTTCTCCCCAGGCCCAAACTATAACAACTTCACTTTAACTACAGAAACTAAAAGAGCAAGAAAGGAATGGATCAGAAAAAGCAGTGCCTATCAGGAAATACTTGATAGAAAACTAGGGCTTTTGACAACACATCTTACCAGTGATTCTCCATCTCCAGAGGCTAGAAGAAAAGACAACACATTTACATTACAATGACAACCAACATTTTATCATTCACAATGAAGGGGACTCAGCTGGCAAGACATCTCCATCAGACCCCAAGGAGGCACTATGTAAACATTTTCATAAGTTCCATCTATTAACATTACGTCAGCTAGGGAAGGCTGTGGGCAAAAACACCTGAGAGTTTGAAGGATGAGCAGGAGGTAGGTGAATCAGCTGCCTTAGTCAATGAACTGGTACCATGTAGAGACTGACCCTACACATTGTACAATGCTGAATGGTGCATGCTTATCTGCAATGGAGGCACGAGAAGAGCGGGTGCAGCTTCTCACCCAAGGTTGATGAGGGTCTACACATAAGACTATCAGAGTGATGCTGACATTCACCAGGCCAAAGAGAAGTGGGGTTCTTACCACACTCCATGAAGCCAAGCAACCATCACCTGACAGATGATTTGGACCTTTGACAGCAAAGTGCTGTAGTTAATCTAATCCTCTCTGCTTAACCAGCATTTCTCACAGGACTCATGTCACTTGTCCCAGGCTAGCAACATTCACTGGTGCAAAGACACAGTGTTGGTTGTATGAGAGCTACCCACAAGAGACTGTTGCCATGTAGGCAAGGTACATACAGGGTCTGAGGGCTGAACCCCTATTTCCCCAATGACAAGCACCCCAGCATGTACCTTTTAGACCAATTCTGTAGGCTGAAGGTCAGTGAGGACTATACTATGTAGTGTCTCCTTCATCGCTAACTCACCCCCTAACACTATCCTTTTCTGTTCACAGAACTCATCATTTTATACTGTTATGGGCTGCCTGGCTAACATTGTAGCTACTTCCTTATTTTCTCCTCTTCAATTTCCTGGAAGCACTGTTTACAGTCTATATTAACTTCCCAGTAAAATGTGGGCTGGAAACTGAATAAGCTAATTTCAGAGTGTGTCACTGTCACACATCACCCCTAAAATCATGTCTGTTTATCAATTAATTCCACTTTCACTCTGTTGCCATAAGAACAGTTTTAGCGAAGTAAGCATGGTGGCACACACCTTTAGTCCCAGCACCTGGGAGGCAGAGGTAAGCAGATCTCTGAGTTCAAGGCCAGCCTGGTCTACAGAGTGAGTTCGAGGACAGCCACGGCTACCCAGAGAAACCCTGCCTCAAAAAAACCCGAATGAATGAATGGTTTTAGAAAACTTTCCTGAGAAAGTTTATCATTCTTTTTCAAGACAGGGTGTCCTATGTAGCTCTAGCTGTTCTGGAATCACTTCGTAGGCATCAAGCTTGCCTTGAACTCGGAGATCCACCTGTCTCTGCCTCCCAAATGTTGAAATTAAAGGCATACACACTATGCTCAGAGAAGCTGACTCTTGAAGGCAAGGAGCTGAGCTCCACATAGCCAGCCTGGTCCAACAAGTCAGTGTGTGCTCAAAAGGAATTTCCTTACTCAGGAAACTTGAGCACTAAGCATATGGGTGTTCTTATTTACCAAACTAACATACTTTGTATTTTATGGCTTCAAAGTTGAAGTCATAGAAAATGGCCATTACAACAATAACATCCAAATGTCCCATGAGGGAAAGTATGGTGGTCCCAGACCAGCAAGCTCTGGGACAAAGCAAAGCAAAGTGCCCAGATCCATGAAGAGACCGGCCTGAGGCTCCCCACCCCCAACAACTCTACACTGGAAAACCTTGGCCGCAGAGATGGACATTTATGCCCAATGATGGTCCCTTCATGGAAAATAACAAGAAAATGCTGTCACCTCATACCCATGCTCTAACACCGAGAAAGGGTCTGGGCAAACATCTTCTACTGACAACAGAGTTACTGTGGGACTACCAAGATAGGACTCCCCAAACAGACTGCAGTCATTACTACTAGGCTCAAGGTCCCATCATTATCGTACAGCTCAGAAAACTAACAAAAAGCTTCAATATTATGGTTTTGCTTCAAGCCTTTAAAAAATTGTAAATCTACCTTCTTGTGTTTATTACATAGAAATTCCAAATAAACCCCTATAGTCTGTCAAATCATGCAAAACTAGGAAAAACTGAATTTGTAAGAAAAAAAAGTTAGACAGGTAACTCAGAAACTACAACTGTTACTAGCTTGAACTAGGAAGGGTCCTAGAGAGCCTGGACCACCTCTTGCCTAGGAAGCTGGCCTAGAAAATGTCCACATGTCCAGAAAAGTGATCATCCTCTCCTGAGAGCTAAGCAAACATGAGGGTATGAAGCGACTTCAAACAACACACAGAGCTGCTCCTGCCCACCTTTCAGGGGGCTGAAGAAGTTGAAGAAAGACTCATTGGGCACTTGCTTGGTGATGGTTCGCACGGTGCCCCGGCCCTTGTGTTTCTGCTTTTTCTTGATGGTTTTGACTGTGACATTTTTTCCTTTCTTCCAGTCTATTGTACACCTGCAAAGGCAAGGCATCTATTACAGGCACTTGTCCCAAGAGAAATCCCACTACTATCCCAGGAAGGAAGCCACAGCTCTATGACACTTCTGACACCACTATTCTGCAAACAAAGAAAAAGAACCCCAAAGCCATCTGTATGGCTGCTTACAAGACTAGCTTGGTCTCATCATCCTTGGGTAACCAATGCTCAAAACATTACAGCTCTGAAATGACAACAGCATTCTCCCACAATAGTCCATAAAGATTCTGAAAAGTATTCTGTGTAAGACCCTGTCAAATCCACATAATGTTCAAGAACTCACTACCTATTGCCTCTGAGCACACCCAGGGTTATCACTCACATATTCCAACTCAGAAATCAACTCATGAACAGGATAGCAGGGGCTGCTGTCTCACAGCTCTGGTGGCAGCTGAATGATGTCTGCTCAGGAACTCAGAGAAAAGCCAAACCCTCTCCCACATGACATATTGGCCCCAGAAAAAGATCTCCCTTAACCCTAAGCCCTAAATACTCCAAGCCTTTGAATCAAGTAGAATTTTAGTGAAGCCCCAAATCACTTAGTGACATTAGCAACACTGAGCTTGTGTTAAGTGTTTTACTTCAACAGTCAGTTTCCTAAACATACACACACTCACAGGAGTCAACTTTATCTTTGAATGGTCTAGAGACTAACACTGACATCAGGTGGCAAATGCCAAGTTCCAAAGCTGTCAATGGGTTGTGATCTACACGAACTTCACCATTCAATAAATACTTCTGCTCCTAAGAGTCTGGGGCTTTGCTGGGCATGATGGTGGCACAGCCTTTAATCCCAGCATTCGGGAGGCAGAGGCAGGTGGATCTCTAAGTTCAGCCTAGTCTACAAAGCAAGAAAGTTTTAGGCAAGCCAGAGCCTGTCTCAAAAACAAACCAAAAACACTCAGGGTAGGCTAGAGAAATGGCTCAAAAGACCAGTATTTGCTTCCTAGCACCCACATGGTGACTCACAACCATCTTTAACTCTAATTTCAGAGCATCTGATGCCCTTATTCATCCTCTGTGGGCATACGCATGGTACAGATACACATGCAGACACAACAACCATATACATTAAGTAAAAATAAAAAGTAAATCTTAAAAAAAAAAAAAAAAAGACATGGGGCTGAGGACACAAGCCAGTAGCAGAGTACCTGGTCTTGTGTGTAAAAGTCCTGGGTTCAATTTCCACTGCCAAAAAACTAAACCCTTCAAATTCATGGTGTCTTGAAAATTGAACACCTGGCCCCATTCAAACAGAAAGTGAGCACAGGCTTATGAGTATATCTGAACCTCAAGATACGACACATCTTTTTTAGCTTTGGCAATGTCCACATTATAGCTTCCCAACTACAAGCTACTGCATATAATCTCTGCAGGGGTTTTAAGTGATTCCAGACTTTTAAGTATATTTTGTAAAAAAGTTATTGCTGGTCGGTGGTGGCACATGCCTTTGATCCCGGCACTCAGGAGGCAGAGGATCTCTGGTCAAGGCCAGCCTGTTCTACAGAGTAAATTCTATGATAGCCAGGCCTACACAGAGAAACCATGTCTAAAAACAAAGAAACAAAAAACTAAACAAGCAAAAAATTATTTCTGTAGATCTGTATGTAAGCACAAATGTGTGTTGGGGGAGACGACACAGGCCAGATGCCAGGCAGAAGAGGTGTCTTCCCCATCACTTTTCACCTATTCCTTTGAAGCAGGGTCTTCCTAAACCCAGGGCTTGAGTTGTCTTACTAGGCGGGAAGCCTACAAGTCCCAGTAATCTTTCTGCATCCTCAAAGCTGGGGCTACAGACATAAGAAGGATGCCTGGCTTATTATATAAATGCTAGGGTCTGAACTCTGATCCTCATGATTACACAGCCATCTCTCTAGCCCCTAAGGCTTTTTTTAAAACATCATTTCTATTTTCTATCTTCTTTGTTGTACACAGATCTTGCTACACAGCCTAGACTGGCCTGGAACTCATGTACCCCTACACCTGACTCTTTTCATTTTAAAATTCAAAACCATTATTGCTTTTATTTCAGAAAGACATGTCCTTACCCATCACAGTCCACAATTTCAGGACCTTCAAATGAAAACGGGTCGGCCTTGTCTGGCTCTGATTTCATCTTGTATGTTTTCGTCAGGACAGGATTGGTGAAGTAGTCGTTGGGTTCAAAGTGAAACTCTAGCACAAAAGACTGAAGCAAAGATACAGAGTAAGAACTACCTAACATCTGCAAAAGGCTTAGGGGAACATCTGACAACACCTCTCATGGGCTGTAGCTCCTCCTACTAAAATCAACCCTGGCAGCTCCACCCTGCTCCACTTCTTCTCTGTATGAAATCTGGATTAGACTACGTCTTAAAGTAAAAACAGGATCCTTCAGAGAAGGTAGATAGAGACGACAGAGTCAACTGTTCCCTTGAAGCTGCACAGTACTTAAGAGAGCACACAGGGAGACAATACTTGCAGAAAAATAGGTACATCAAGTCCAGGATGGCAGTAAGGAAAAAAACAAAAAACAAAAAACACATTCAGACAATTCACAAACATAAAAAAACAAACAACAGGCAAAATAGGAAATGGTGCACACCTTTAATTCTAATATTTGAGAGCAGAGGCAGGCAGATCTTTGAGTTCAAGGATAGCCAAGATAGCCAGAGCTACACAGAGAAACCCTGTCTCAAAAAGCAGAAATAACAACAAAACGAGCAAGATGTGCTTTTTCTGGAGCAAAATGTACCTAAAAAAGCCAAACAACAAACTATGTAGGACTGACCAATACTTTGGGCCTATTCATGTACCAAAAAAAATTAATGTGCTTGATTTTGGGAATTCATCCCGTCAGCGGAATTAGTGTGACGCATGCATTCACCCTGAACTTACTCATAAAGAAAAACAGACGCGCCTCCTCGACCCACAAAGAGAATAAGAGTCAATGGGTTCAAGAACGCCCACTAGAGAACAAACACATATATGTTCCCAGATGGGAAGGACCATGTGAAATGCCCACAGACACTCATGAAGTGAAGAGCTCCTCTTGCTTTTTTCACTGTGCTCGCTCTACCTAGAATTCAAATGGGAAGCAGCCACCAGAAGGAAGGATCTGTGGATGCTTTCTACATATAAGAATCTAAGATTATTTCTGTTACCAGATTTTTTTTTTTGGGGGGGGGGGTGGTGGAGGCAGTCTACTCTAGCCTAGCTGATCTCATTCTCATACCAATCCTCTTGCCTCAGCAGGAAGTAAGGGCCCTACTAACATGTAGATAAGACAAAATTGACTGACAATGGAAATAAACAGGCCTCAGAAATCAAACAGGCTTCTAATAAGACAGGAAAAAAAAAAAATCTTATCCAGCTTAAGAGTAGGTGGGTTCATGCTTTTATATTCTCAACACCTGGAAGGCTAAGACAGGGGGACTGCCATGATTTTTAGGCCTGCCTGAGATGGTGTCAAAGAAACAAACAAACAAACAAATAGCCAGCCAATGTAGCACAAGCCTGTAATCCCAGAACATGGGCAGGAGAGGCAAGAGTGGGCCACAAAAGACAGCTTAGTATATAAGCTTAGTATATATTCTTGGTTAGCCCAGGCTACACAGCAAGACTATCTTATAATAATAAAATAATTCATGTAAAAACAAACAATACAACAACTGAATCTGAACTGAAAGGAAAAAACAGTAAGAATCTCAAAACTGCCTCGTAAGGGGCAGCATAGCCAGAGCTTTGAGTAGGAACAAACTGCTGCGGCCACATGAGTAAGAAAACAGCCCCTGACCAAGCATGTTGAGCTCCCAGTATCCACGGCCCCATCTTCAGAGCGACAGCCAAATGTTAATATTCACAAAGCAAAGAAAGATGAGATGTGTTCAGCTGCCCCTGAAAAACTGATGATAAAGAAATCCCACCCACTGGCTTATCTCCCTCCACCTATTAACCAGGGCCTGAGGTAAAAATGAGAAGACAGAGACCTTTAGGTTCCTCTCTCAAGATCCCTTTGGTATCCCCTCACAGAGTATGTCTCCAAGACCTGAAACTGAAAGCCACCAGCCAGCCAGTCAGTCATGTGTCACTGGAAATCCTGTAGCACTGGAATGGAACCCGCCAGCTACAGCAAGGCTGACAGGTTACGAACAGTGCTCCTGAGTAGAGGGTGAGGCTCAGTAAGCACCAGCACTACACACACTAGTTAAGTCCATCTTCCCCAAAGCCAGACTACCTCCAATGTTTGACCCTATCAGTCACATCTACATTGGTTATTTTAAGCTAAACCCAGGAAGGTTACTTTCCTTAGTATCTAGATTTCTGCACCAGTGTTGTTCATGTTTGTGTATGTTCTTTTCATTCTTTTAAGAAAAGGTCTCACTGTGCTGTGACTCAGGCTGGTCCTAACTCCTATACTCAAGTAATTCACCTCCCTCCAGGGAGTACAAGCTCATGCCACCTCATCCTGCTACCTCCCATGTGACACCTAGGGAAAGTATGGTGTGCTCATCATCTCTATCAAACAAAAAACCTAAATTTGAGGATGACCAAGAGATAACCACAGCCCAGCAGTTAAGTTGAGTTCAATTTGGCACTAGCCTGAATCCAGCTGGCTGCTCAGCCTTGGGACAGGACATGGTCTGTGTTACTAGCCAAATGCTCAGCTCACATTGCATCTGCAACACCAAGAGAAATCTGAGGAGCAGGCATGCTCAGGGCTGCCCAACTTGAGTGACAAGAATCAGATCTTTTGCACCTTAGTCAATCAGCAAGGAGCTTGGTCAGTACTCACCATAGGCTGCCCAGGGTCTGAAAACTTCACTTTAATATCCTGCAGGTGTTTCAAGATCGGTTCATCATATTCCTAACAAATAGAGAGACTCCTGAACAACCTCATACAGCCCATACCTCATAGCAACCACAATTTCATGTATCCCAGAGGCTGGGTACTTGTTCCTATTGGAATTCTGTCTTTATCTAGTAGTAACTTCTGGAAAGCAATGCAATAGTTATTCACTATATATCTCTAGTGGCAGCAACAACATGCCAAGAATCATCTGCTACCTGTCTCTAGAGTGGCACCACAGCTACCCCCAATGCTGGCTACAGGGAAGTCCCATGCTCTCCTGCCACCACCTGACATTGCAGTTGGTACAGTGCCATAGACAACACTTCTGGCCCCCAAAGTCTAAGATGACAAAACAGAAGGCTTGGCATCAGAAGAAATGGCTCAAGTTAATTGCTGGTCTTCCTGCACAGTATTTATCAGGGACAATAAATATTCCAAATCTGCATATGCCACCTCTATAAGAACACAGAGTATGTCAAACCCTAACATACAGGAACTAATGACTCCCATGGCTCTGTGCTCTCACAATGACTATTGCTTAGACTTGTAAATAGCCTGCTTCATCTTGAGCTTGGCATTGAGTCCCAGAATTTAAGGTTCCAAAGCTCTAAAGACCACCTTCCAAATTATTACAGTCTGGTTTTACTCAAAGCATATGCCCAACTAGCAGTGTGGGCATCACCCAGAAGAACTAGAGAAAACACAACTTTCCCCATCACTCTTATTCACTCTCTTCATTTCTACAAACCTCCCATCCCATAAAGCCAAAGAAGACTATGAGTCAGCTTTCCTCTGCTACCAGCATGGGGTTTTCAGTTGCTAAGGCATACACGGATCATGTGACAAGAATCCAAAAACAAGGCTTCCCAGGATCCCTGCTTTTACAGGAAGAACTTATGAATAAGGTCTTGGGGTACAGTGCTGGACTCTGCAGGAGACTACCTCTCAAGCTCTGGTATAAAATGGACTGTCAGCCTTGTCAAGAACTTCAAAAGAAAATGTGGCCCCCTCCAGCAAAGATCTCTCCCCTATGGATCAGGGTTGTTGTCCAAGTGCTAAAGGAGACTTTTCATCTGCATTAAAGGATCTCCCAGACCCTAGAAAAGCAGTATGTGAGCACAAGCCAGTCCGTCAACATACTGTAGGAGTTATGCATCACCCCAGACCCCCAGTCTCAACCCACCTATCCAGTGGGCAGAAGGCTCACCTGCACCAGCTCGCTAAGCATGTCCACATTTCTGAAAATGGTAAACCAGAACTCAGGGATGCCTTTGGGGTTCAGCTCTTCCACTGCCGCTTCTTCTTTCTCAGCTATGACTACTTTATTCTTCATATCTCCCTACAAAACAAATTCAACACACAAAAATCATTGAAAATGAAATTTTAACACAGTTCAGGGACTTACTCTAAGATATTATTTTGGGGCCATCACACGATTTCCTTTTCCCTCTGTATGAGTGTCTCCAAACCATGAGTTGGAATTTTTGGCACTATGTCGACATATAATGTCACAATGCAAGTCCCAACAAGGGGAGAAAACAGAAGAGGTGGTAAATTGCCACGAGACTTGTAAAAGAATGTTCAGTCTGGTTTGGTGAGCTTCCTGCCATCATGCAAGAATAAATACTACAACAGCTTCCAGCAGACACACACGTGGTGTCACATCCATTACCGTTAAGGTAAAGAAAGCCCCTATTCAGACCAGGTATGATAATCCACACTTGAGAGGCAAAGGCACAAAAAAAAGACTGCCATAAATTTGAGGGCAGCCTGGTCTATACAGCAAGTTCCAAGCCAGCCAAGGCTATATGAGATCCTGTCTTTAAAAAAAAAAAAAAAAAAGGAAGGAAGAGAGGGAGGGAGGGAGGGAGGGAGGGCGGGAGGGAGGGAGGGAGGGAGGGAGGAAGGAAGGAAGGAAGGAAGGAAGGAAGGAAGGAAGGAGAGAGAGAGAAAGAAAGAAAGCAGAAATGAAGAAAACCTGCTTTGCTGCAGCAGCAAACTGTTCAGCAACTTGGGTATGCAGTTCCCAGGAAGACAAAGAACATGAAGGTAGATGTATTGGGCAAACACCAGCACTGTGATCAAAAAAGCCACGCACCACCAAGGAAGGGAGATACATAATACAGCCTTAGGAAGAAGGCAGGTTAAAGGAAGTTGAACCAAATGAATTCTGAATGCTTGCCACAATAGCCTGGTATGATGGAACAATATGCTGAGATCTTTAAACCATCAAAACAGGCTTTCTTGAGTCGTAAGGAACTAACTAATGCAAAACCACACCTTCAACACCTAAAAGAGCAACACTGGCAGGGTGTGGTGGTATATGCCATCTCTGTGAGTTTGAGGCCAGCCTGGTCTACACATGAGTTCCATGTCAGCCATGACTACATAATAAGACTGTCATTCCCCTCTTCCCCAAAAAAACTGTCCATGTAACCATAAAAGTTACACATATTTCAAAAAGATCCCTGAAAGAGAATTCTACTGAACCAAAGCTATCTGTTATCTAAACATAAAATCAGACTGACAAGAACTTGGGTGTGACTCAGTGGTAGAAAATTTGACTTTTGCTTGTGAGCCTCTGGGTTATATTCCTAGTACCTTAAAAAAAAAAAAATTAAAAGGGGGAGGCTGGAGAGATGGCTCAGAGGTTAGGAGCACTGGTTGCTCTTCCAGAGGACCTGAGTTCAATTCCCAGCAACCACATGGCAGCTCACAACCATCTATAATGAGATCTGGCGCCCTCTTCTGGCCTGCAGCATATATGCAGGCAGAATACTGTATACATAATAAATATATAAGTTAAAAAAAAGGGGGGGGAACATACCAGGATACAAGTTAAAGTTAACTTGTACCATGTTGAACTTTCCATGGCATTTGAATGAGAGAGACTGTCATAAAAAATAGATCAGATGTCATGATGCTGGTCGCTCACTCACCTGCTGACCTAGAGACAGAATGAGACTGAGTAGCCTGAGGTCTCCAGAAGGCCCCACTCTACATGTGCCTACCTCCCCACTGAAGAGGAACATGTGCAGTCCCCACCCATGCTAAACTCCATCTTTTCTGGCCTTGAAATTGAACTCTCACTGGTATTACAGTTAGTTTTGTTCTGGAGAAAGGATCTCCTACGTAGACCAGGCTGGCCTAGAACTCGAAATCTTTCTGCCTGTCTCTCTAATGCTGGGGTAAGAATCATGTTCTACCATGTCTTGCACACTACAACCAATTGTGCCTGCCTGACCTGTATTTCAGTTCTGTCTCATGATAACTGACGGCACTGCCTCAGATGCCAGATTGTCACCATGGACCCATGCACCTAGTGGAGAGAAGAGAACTACTGTAGGCCTACTCTACAAAGCTTTGTGGACATAAACCATAAGTGAAAGAACCACAAAAATAACTAGGATTAAACAACACTATACAACAGACACTTACAGCCAACTTGTCATCCTCCTCGTTCTCACTGTGCCATGCTGACTCTGCATCTGTGGGCTCCACGTCACCAGTGATGAATTCTCTTCTCTACATAAAAAGCCAAGAGTCCATCAGCACATTAGGCTCTCTGCAAACTCAAAAGCTAAGATGTTTACACAGACCTCTGAAAAGACAAGTCACAAAGTCCCTGGGTGGTACCATGTCTCACCCCACAGAAGTGACTACATGAGGCAAGCACATTAACAGCACACACCTTGTCAAACAGAGGCTGGTACAGGGCTGCATACTTCCTCTCCAGGTCATGAACTTCCTCATAAAACTTAGCTTCTATGTGCGCACACCTCACCTGGAGCTGCTTCAGAGCGTTAATTCTCCTTTTGACAGCTTTGGGTAAACTACGAGAGAACAGAAAATAAAGTAACTAGGATGCCAGCAAACAACCATCAAATACCATAAGCACCCTGACTAGAAAGAGCTGCTAAAATCCTACATGCAAACAAGCCAAAAAATGTCCAAAAATATGGACTGCTTGCTGAGCAAGGTAGTGCATGCCTTTAATTCCAGAAGAGGCAGGTGTATCTCTGTTAGCTTGAAGCCAGCCCTGTCTATTGTATACTTAACAAGTTCCAGGATAGCCAGGAATATATAAAAAGACTCTGTCAAAACAGTAACAACAAAGGATGAGGGCCTAAAAGAGGAAACTGGAAAAGATACAAACTGCCAGATGTGAAAACAGACTCAATCTTCTAACATAACAAAAGCAGAAATGGAAGATGGGTTTGTAGAATTGCTCTTTTGTCTCAAACAAACTGGTGGTGAAAAACAGACCAAGGAAAGCTGGACACACTTGCAATCCTACCATGTGGGAGGCTACAGCAATAAGAGAAGTTGTTGAAGGCTATTCTGGGCTAAACAGAGACCAAGGAAGAAGAGTGTAGATCTCAGAGAGAGCACAAATCTAACATTCAGACAGCCTTTGCTCAAATTCCCACCACACACACACACACACACACACACACACACACACACACACACACACGGCAGGGAGCTCGGCATGGTGTTATGCACCTATAATCCTAACACTTGAGAAGTCAATGTAGAATGATCAGGTGTTCAAAGCTAGCCTTGGCTACAAAGTGAATTCAAGGCCAGCTTTGGCCATGAGATTTTATCTCAAACAAAACAAAACAAACAAAAAAAAAAAAGAGGGGGGGGGTTTGAGCTGGAGAGATGGCTCAATAGTTATACTTGCAACTGTTACAGAAGATCTGATGCTTCTGGCCTCCATGGACATCTGCACTCAAATATACATGTACCCCCCCCCCCTTAATTTAAAACAAACAAAAACCCACCAAAGAAATGGCTCAGTGGGTAAAGGCACTTGCAATCAAGCCAAATGACATGACTAGGTCCCTGAGAATCACCAAGTAGAAGGAGAAAGGCAACTCCTTTAAACTGTACTCAGACCTCTACATGTGCACAATAGGATGAAACAATAAAGAACAAAGGCAAAACTCCCACCCAAGGACCAGACACAGGGAAGTTGACAAGGATTCAGTCATGTGGGCCCCGATGCTGTCAGAAACCACAAAGACATGAAGTCTGTAGACACCAATATTGAAGTCTCTCCTAATCACAGCAGTTTCTTTGCCTCTGTGTTCCAGAGCTTCTTTCTTTTTCTTTCTCTGTATTTCTTTGTGTGTGTGTGTGTGTGTGTGTGTGTGTGTGTGTGTGTGTGTGTATGAGTACTCCTAAAAACCAAGAGAAAAAAAAACATGTAGAGTGGTGGTGGTGCATGCCTTTAGTCCCAGCACTCAGGTGACACAGGCAGGAGAACCTTCTGAGTTGAGGCCAGCCTAGTATACAGAGCAAGTTCTAGGACAGCCAGAGCTACAGAGAGAAACCATGTCTTAAAAAAACCAGAAAATGGAAAGAGAGAGAGAGAAAGAAAAAAAGAAACCTATAAAGTTGTTTAAATTAAAACCCCAAAATTAACACCACCTAGTGAAAACTTGTTCACAGCAAATCTGAATACAGAGCCACATAAGCAGCTAGTCAGTGCTGGCCCACGCACTGTTCAAGACCAATACAAGTGAGGCTGTGCCCTCACAATCTATCATTACCCTGTGCCTCTGTCCCAGTGAGCAAATGCACTCCTTTTGCACACTTGCAAAAACCAGAAAACCAGACACCATTCTCAACTCCCTCACTATACCCTACCACCTATTCCATAAAACAAACAAACAAACAAAAAAACCAAACAGGACAAAGACAGACTGTACCCACCGAGGAGTAAACCCAGAAAGGCCTGTAAATGGATATAAGGAAATGTGTCTCCTCCTTTTGTAACAGCTAAGCCTTGTCCAAATGTTATGGAACCTGGCTCATCTCTTCCAGGGGGCAGACGGAGAGGCCCTGAGAAGCACTGCTCGGAGTGGGCATCTCATTTCTACCATACAACAGCCAGGACAAATATCTCCTGACAAGGGTAAAGATGTGGGTGATGGCCAGACAGCACTCTACCAGCCACATGGTGGCACTGTGCACCACCAAGCAGACAAGATGAACTGCTCCACACTTGTTCCTACTCAGGCAAGCTGTTTATTCTGTCACTTGACTGGCAGTGTACTCACGTTTCTATGTAGCTAGAAGGAGTGTGAGAGACGTTGTCGAGACGTTCCTGCAAAGCTGCCAGCACTTGTGGGTTCTGCATCACCTGGTCTGTGAGTTTTTCTATGAGGAGTTGGAAATGAGATCAGAGTTATTTTGCAGCCAAGAACCCAAACACTAACATGGATCTCTGGCTTGTCACCCAGGCTACTCAAGAGGCTGAAAGGGAATACCATGCCACGACCTTATCTCAAAATAAAAAGACACAAGAGAGCGGGAATGTAATTTAACAGCACAGTACCTACCTAGCACATGAAGCCCTGGGCTCAATCTTTATCACCACAAATGTGTGTTACAAATACATTCCCAACTGGGCGTAGTGGTGCACACCTTTAATGCCAGAACTTAGGAGGAAGAGACAGACAATCTCTGAGTTCTGGAGCCAGCCTAGTCTACATAATAAGTTCCAGGACAGCCAGGGCTACAGACAGAAACTCTATCTCAGAAAATAAACAAAAAAGTAGTACACATTCCCTTCTGCTTTTTAGGCCAATATTCATAGTAAGAAAAGAAGCTCGTGTTAGGCACAGACAAGGAGAAAAAAACACTACTGTCTCAGACCACATTTGCTTTAAAAATAAATAAAACCCCAACATATGTCTACTTAACTGCTACTAATTTCTAAATATAGTAAAGTGTAGAGACTTATATTTTAAAAGCATCTTTGTTGTAGGGTACCCAGGAGGCAGAGGCAGGTGGATCTCTGACTTTGAGACCAGCCTGGTCTACAGAGCAAGTTCCAGGACAGTCAGGGCTGTTACAGAGAAACGCTGTCTCCAGAAACAAAACAAACAAAAAGTATCTTTTTTAATTACCCCAGGGGGTAGTTGGTGATACTACTAGGCCTGTAGACAGCTAAGCCCTAGGCCCCTATCTGAGATCACTAACTACCAACCTTCAGGGGTGTAATTCTGGTTACACCTTGCTTCCCAGTCCCATTGGTGTTTGGAAGCCAGGGACAGGTCAAGATTAGCTTCTGAAGTGAAATAGCATCCACCCACTTCTCAGTCCAAAGAGATGGCTCTCCCCAGCTTGCCAGAAAGCCCTTTCTCCCTAAAAACCACCTCCAGCAAAAAGTACTCTGACCTCCTTAATCCTTCTGACAGTTCACATGCCTTTGTCTAGACTTGTAACACTGAGCTATTATTTAGAACCTTTTCCCCAAATAAAAAAAGGAGACACCAAGAGAGTAGGAACTGTCCTTCATTGGTGATGGAGCTGAACAAATTCCCTCTCATATAGTCCAGGCTCACCTAGAACTCGAGACTCTCCTGCTTGGACTCCCAAGTGTTGAGGTTATATCATAGTCTGCACACTCAGCTCAGAGACAGATTAAGAATCTTTTTTATTTTATCATTATTATTACATGCATGTATTCAATCAGATTTGCAATGTTCAATACTATGTGTGAGTTTATGAACATAGTGACATATCTAGATTTTGCTTCAAAATAAGGAGAGGGAAGTTTAGAGTGCAAGTCTGGCTAACATTCTGATGCCCAGGTCATGTGGATAAGCAGTAAATGGGGTTGTTGTTCTCTTTTGTGGAGGTCTAAATTTCTAGTCACTAAATAAAGTGCTGATTTTTCTCTTAGAAATTCGTTACTGCTATTATAATTACTGTAATAAGTGGTTCTGAAGAGGAGGCTCCCAGTCACATATGGAAACCCTCAAACACCATTTCATACATTAAACTGACCTGTATTACTGGCATTTTTAGTAGCTTCCACAGAATCTGCAGGGCCTCCATCTGAAAGACTAAAACAAGTTTACAAAGTATTATAAACACGAGTCGTAAATACAGCACCAATTGGATTTTCAGTGTCTGTCCAATGTATTAGGGAGGGATCTATGCAGCAAGAGACTCCAGGTCAGGTGAGGGTAACACTGGCTGGGCATGGTGGCACAGCCTTTTATCCCAGCACGTGGGAGGCAGAAGCACATGTATCTGTGAATCCAAGGCCAGCCTTGTCTACAAAGTGAGTTCCAGGACAGGCAGAGCTATATAATGAGACCCCGTCCCCCAAGGGGGTGGAGAGACAACAAACAAAAAAGATAATGACTTGTATTACTTAAGGGAGCCTTCCTCTCATCTAAAAAGATCACATCCACCCGGCTCCCTTACCTCTCATACCCAACACACAGGCTGCTTTACAAAGTTCTAAACTGCAACCCTTGCCAAAGCTTAATTTTCCTTTTTTGTTTGGAGACTAACTCAGTAGCCAGTCTAACCTAATGCCGTAGTCCAGGCTTCGTGGGTATTTGGATGGCAAGTATGAACCACCACGGTTCACCTGATTGTTTTTTAATTTATTTTATGTATGAGTACTGTATCTGTATGTGTGCCTGCATGCCAGAGGAGGGCATCAAATTGCAGTATAGGTCGTTGTAAACCACCATGTGGTTGCTGGGAATTGAACTCAGGGCCACTGGAGGAAAAGACAGTGCCCTTATCTACTGAGCCATCTTATCAGCCTCAGTTTATCTTGAAAATTAAAACAAGCAAAAAAAAAAAAAAAAAAACAAAATATATGTGTGCCATGTGAGGTTGTATACACCTTCAACCCAACACTTGGGAACAGACACAGGTGGATCTCTGAGAGTTTTGAGCCATCCTGTTACCCACAAGGTCTAGGCCACCTGGGGCTACACATTGAGACCCTGTCTTAAAAACAAAACAAAACCCCCAAACAAAAACTGTTTATGCATATGTCCATTTTTGAGTATGTGCAATGCCAGTGGAGGCCAGAAAAAAAAAAACTTCAGATCCCCAGAATTGGAGTTTGTGAGCTACCTAATTCAGGTGGTGGGAACCAAACTTAGGACTTTGCAAGAGCAGTACATATTCTTAACCACTGACCCATCTCTCCAGCCTTTAATCTTTTATAGTCAATCCCCTGATTGCATAATCGTCCTGTAGCACTTAAAAACCACACCACTCAAACAACTAGCTACCATGTGGTCAGCAGCACACACAGTGGCCTCCTGCAGTAGATGCAATGTCACAGTGTTCTGCCAGCCACACAGCATCACCAAACAATGGCCTTCAAAAACAGAGGCCTAATGGCTAGCAATAAAAACCCTTCCCTGATCCCTGGTACCTACATCAGGTTAATGACAGGATTTCACCAAGGGTGGGGAAAAATAGGTTAAAGGCCAGGGAGAACAGAAACTTCTACACAAGGCCTCCGAATATCAGTGTCTGAGACAATTGGTATCTGACATCAATTTCTTTGCCAGCAAAACTAAGAAAGAAGGCCATTATTCCTTGAAGTTTAAACTATTTAACTTTGAGGCCAGGCAGTGGTGGTATATTTCTTTAATCCCAGCACTCCGGAGGCAGAGGCAGGTGAATCTGAGCCTGGTCTACACAGCAAGTTCTAGGACAGCCAGGGCTACACAGAGAAACCCTGTCTCAAAAACAAAAACAAACAAAAAAAATCCCAAAACCAAAACCAACCATTTAACTTTGAATTCTAGTTTCTAAAATACAGTGGGCTCTAGCTCCCTACCTAATTTTGAAGTCCAATAAAGTCCAGTTTGGCTTACCTGTTTTCTGCCATCTGAATGCCTTTGTCCCCTACAAATGAAAAAGTTCACAGTTACATTCACACCAAAAAAATGTATCACTCTTCTAACATCAACTAACAATGGCACTCCACCAGACATGGCAATTGAGATCCTTCTGCAAGTGAAGGAAATGAAAATCTCCCAGATGTAGCCTGGCATTATTTGAGCACACACGTTAATCTCATAGACAAGTGCACTTAAGATCTAGGTTTCACTGGACATAGTGATACATGCCTTTAATCTCAACACCTGGGAGGCAGAGGCAAGCTGTGAGTTTGAAGCCAGCCTGATCTATACAGAGTTCTTGGCCAGACAGGTCTACATAGTGAGACCATGTCAAAAAATAAAATGAAATTAATCTAGGTTTCATTTATCTGCATGCTTTACTTTAAAAACTTTATTTTTTTGGAAACAGGATCTCATGTAATCCAGACTGACTTCCAACTTGCTATGTAGTTGATGACTCTGAATTTCTGACCCTTAGCCTCCACACCCTCAGTACTAAGGTGACAAGTATGCACCGTGATACTGGGTTTATGCAGTGCTCAGTATCAAATCCAGAGCTTTATACCTGCTACAAACTGAGCTAGAGCCACAGCATTCTTACCGACTAAAATAAAGTGACCAGACTTCACAGTAAGAAAACAGAATCTAATCTTCTCTCTACAATAAACCTAAAAGATCCACACAGCAAGTTACCCAAACATTTCAAAAGCACATTTGAACTGTCTCTCAGATAGAGTAATGCTAATCTACCTGCCTTTATCTTTTATGCCACCTGCACTGTAAAAACACTAAGACACTCAACATGACCACTGTGTAAGAATGCTTCATCTCAAGGTGCCCTCCTTACTTTAAAGGTACGGTGACTGAGGCACCATACAAAGCCCTTCACACCTGCCGAGTGCACATAGTGCAGACCGGAAAGCTGTGCTGGTGCGAGGAAAACAGAAGACTTGGGAAAAACGGTTCCAGCAAGAGCGATGTGCAACTGTTTCTCAGATCAATCTTCTATTAGGTTTTTACTGTTAAAAAAAAAAAAAAGTGTGCAGGTGGCTCATACCCTTTCATTTCAGGGTTTGGTAGGCACAGACAGGTATATCTACTGAGGTTCGGGGCAGCCAGGGACACCCAGTGAAATCCCGCCTCAAAGAAAACTAAAAAAACGCACAAAAACATAGCACATGATCCATAGTTAGGGTTTCTACTGCTGTCACAAAACACCATGACCAAAAAGCAAGTTGGTAAGAGTTTATTCTGCTTACACATGCACATTGTTGTTATCACCGAAGGAAGTCAGGGCAGGGAACTCAAGCAGAGCAGGAGCTGAAGGCGGGAGCTGATGCAGAGGCCACAGTGGTGCTGCTTACTGGCTTGCTCAGCCTTCTTTCGTATAGAACTCAGGACCACCAGCCCAGGACGATCCCATCCACAATGGCTGGACCCTCAAACGCTGATCACTAATTCAGAAAATACCTTACATAGAGGCATTTCCTTAACTGGTGCTCCTTCCTCTCTGATGACTCTACTTTGTATCAAGTTGACACACAAACCAACCAGCCAGTACATATGACTATTGTCTTTTTGAAACTAAGTTATTTATTTGGTTTCTGTTTTTTTTTTTTTTTTTTTTTTTTTTTTCTTAAGACAGGGTTTCTCTGTATAGCCTTGGCTGTCATGGGCTCACTTTGTAGACCAGACTACTAGCATGGCCTTGAACTCACTAGGATCTACCTGCCTCTGCCTCCCTGATAGCTGGGATTAGAGGCTTGTGCAACTGTGCCTGACTAAACCTAAGCTATTTTATGGAAGCACAAAAAAAGGGTAAGGTGACAACAGTACTGCAGATGACCAAACCCTCAGCAACACAGCAGCTTCTCAAACCCAGCTTCAGCTCCAAAGAACCTTCCACAAATCTAGCCAAACTCACTGGCCACATTATTACACCCACCCTACAAAGCTCACCCTTTTCAATGCCAGCAAACACTGTTGCCCAGATGGCCAACACGGAGGCTTTTCTGCCATATACCCTTGGTTCATGGTCTTCATGAACACCTTAGTCAAATGTGGCTTCCTATCCTTTGCTTTTCTTAACTTAGATGGCAAGATTTCTGGGTTAAAAAATGAGCAATACATACTGCTGAGCTGGTTTTACACACTGGCACTCCTTACACTTTGGCTACATACAGTACCCCATTACCTACCTATGACTAGATTACACTCATAGGCCTCCACCCTTTCCCAGCTGTACAGCACTTCTCAGCACCTGGGTCTGAGGACCAAAAACTCAAAAAACATAGAAGCCATACCCACCTGAAGCAATTGTGAAGCTCAACTGCCTCACCATAATGGTGCAGCAGGCCTGCACATCACTATGACCCATGCATACACAGCGCCCTACCCTGGACACTGAGACCAAGGCAACACGCTCCAGCACCATCCATTATTGTGTTTACCAAACACTGAAAGTCACAAAGAGCTATCAATTTGCAGGTACTCGATAAACATACATTTTGCTTTAAAGGCTAAGTGACAGGTTTAATGCTGGTTTTATTAAGCCACAGTTCAAAGCCTTGTCAGGCAAACTACTTTTAAAATGCATCAAGAGCCAGACACAATGATGCACACCTGTAATCACAGGACCTGAAAGGTATGGTTATGCTGGCTACATGGCAAGTGGCCAGCCTGGTCTACAGAAGTACCTGTCTCTGTATCTCTCTTTGGTTTTTGGTGACAGGGTTTCTCTGTATACCCTTGGCGATCCTGGACTTGCTTTGTAGACCAGGTTGGCCTCAAACTCAGAGATCTGCCTGCCTCTGCCTCCCGGAGTGCTGGGATCACAGTCACGTGCCACTGCACCCAGTTCAGAAGGACCTGTCTTAAAACAAAACAACAACAACAACAACAAAAAAAAAAAAACCTAGCAATCAAGTTAAATTATGACAGGCATCAGGGGACCTAAGTTAATAGACTACAGAGGTTTAGGTTCCCTTCCAGGGCCAACATGTTGCTTTTATTTTGGTAAGACAAGACAACAGCTCAATTACAGATTCATCTCTCTTGCTCCAAACATCAAAAAAACCTTTCAGAGGAAAAACTTTTTAAACTTCAATAGCAAATTTTAAACCAGCCACTTCTTAAAGATTAAACAAACAAACAAAAAGCCTTTTGTGCATATGAATGCCTGCATGCATGTGCAGCATACATGCTCAGAGGCCAGAAGAGGACACCAGATCCTCCCGCAACTGGAGTGGCTGCAGGTGGTTTAGAGCCACTGCACAGGTAATAAGAACCAAGCTCATGTCTGCTGCAACAGGAGCCAGTGATCTTAATTGTGAGCACCTCAACTGGCACCCCTGAAAGACCAAGAAAAGCCTAAGCTGTGGAGTGTCACCACACTTCACAAAACCTACACTTTTATAGATTATCTGTCTTCATAAAGTCAAAGGCCCTCAAAGTCTTAACACAGATAAGCAAATGATTACTATTAACCTAAACTAGCCTGGAGAAATGGGTCAGAGGACAAAAGTGCTTGCCACCAAGCCTGATGATCTGAGTTTAATTACTGGGCCCCATACGGTCAAAGAGAACAGATTCCCAGGTCCTCCGACCTCCATATCCAGCACGTATCCATGTATGTGCACGCACATAAACTCTAAGGCACAGTAACTTGGTTCACAGTCTGAAAGGTGACAGCTGACCCGGTGAAGCTGAGGATGTGTGATCAGGTCCTACAGAACTGACTTGTAACAACTTAGGGCCATGTAAAAGGGGCTGAGTGAGTGAGTGAGGCCAGACAATGGACATAGCTCATTACTACTCCTTTTATCCTAAGTGCACATGGTAAAATTTAAACCTCTAGGGAACTGATTCAGATTCTCAGACAATCACAAGGTGTTGCTAACTGGGCTGGAGATGCAGCTCAGCAGCAAACCACTCCCCAACAGAGTGCCTGGGTCCATTCCTAGAAAAGGAGGAAAGGGCTACTAATCACAACATTCATTTCTCTTTTAAATTGTTGAGTTCAAGGCCAGCCTTTGATACACTATAAAACCTTGTCTGTATGAAATACTGTTGTAGTTCCCTGCCCTTAACTAAAAGGGTAGAGGTATCCAATCCTAAACACACACGAGAAGCCTTTACCTTATGTTTAAAACAATTTAAACTATACTTAATGTCTACTAATCTAATGTATATGGCCTTCCTTCATCATTTAGCCTTTATGACAAAATTTAACTAAACCAGGTTGGCAGCTCTTCTAAAATCTCAACACACTGGAGGTTGAAGCCATGGAGTCAGAATATGAAGGCCAACCTCAACTGAGACAAGAGAACCTCTCAGAAAAATACAAAGCAAACCATACGAAGTCAGATGAAGTAGTGCACACCTGCAGGACACTGAAAGAGTAAGACTGAGGTCAGGCTGGGCTATACAGTGAGACTGTCCTAAACAACCCAGGCTTGCACTCGGCCTGGGTTTGACTGCAGCACTGAATAAATGAGTGGTGACTCATCATCAGGTGTATAGCAAGTTCCAGGACAGCCTGAGCCTTGTCTTTAAAACAATAACAAAACAGGAGACTCCCCCAGCCACAAGTGTTGACAGCGGCCGATATTGAAGTAATTATAGCTGCAAAGACCACAGCCATCAATCGTTACTACAGGTTTTGAAAGATAACATGGCCTTGACTTCATACTTCTAACCTCTGAACTATGACACAACAGATGTGCTGTTTGAAGCAAAACTAAGAAACAACAAAATCCCCAAGAAAACAATTCTCCATGTAACATAGTTATTTGACAATGTTTTATTTTATGTGTGTGTGCTGTGTACACCTCTGTTCACACATGTGTGGAGGCCAAAGGACATAGGGTATACTGCTTTCCCACTTTCCACCTTATTTTCCCAAGTCTCACTGAACTTGAAGCTAGCCTTAGGTAGGCCATAACTGGCTTTCCACATAGATGCTTGGGTCCAAATTGAGGTTCTCACAATTACGCAGCAAGTACTCTCGAACACTGAATCATTTCCCCAGCCCTAATAAAATATTTTATAATTCTTTATTACATATTTATTGTGTGTGGGGGGGGTGTTGTTTGTGCCATATACATGGAGGTCAGAGGACAATTTCCAGGAATCAATTCTCTCCTTTTAGTATGTGGAGGCCATGGAACACATTCAGGTCATCAGGCTTGGCAGCAGGCACCTTTGCCAGCTGAGCCTTCTTGTTAGCCCATAATATTTTTAAGCAATCAGATGTATGTTAGATTGGTAACTGCGGGTGCTAAGTGGTTTTTTTTTCCTTCTTTTCTGTTTGCTTTTGAAACTTCTCATTCAGTGTTTTTAACACTAATAATGAGAAACTTCCAGGAGGGCAGAGCATGTCCACTGACTCAATTCAGAGTTCAGGGCTCAGCAAAGGACTTAGTATGAAACAGGGTAGCCAAGAGTCTCAGCCCAGTTAATCCCTGCATTTAAGTACCTGTAAGTACAATGGCACTGAACTCCCTTTGGACACTTTGGCCTACCCTAAGCAATTTTGGAAGATACAGGAGGAATACATTTCCTTAGTCACACCTGCTTACAATATCTACTAAAATACCTCTAACAGAAAACAGCAAGTTATCTCGCCAGAGATTTATAGAGGCCATACCACCAGGCTTCAGGAGAAATGATGTTTTTTTTCCTCAAGCAAAATACTCCTCTAGTAGAGGAGGTAATGCTGCAGCAGTTGGAAAAGTCGTGAGAAGTGCACAAGCAGAGGGCCGTTTTGGCACTGGCTATCTCTTCATCTTATTAAGAAGCATTTCCTTTCCCCATACTTAAAATTACAACCTCCCAAAACGCCAGTGCCTCAAAAGTATTTGCCCCCATCTGACTCTCGCCTGCTTCTACTGCAGGAAGGGCAAGGCCGCTATTTACTACTTGAGACCCTCGAGATGTGTTGGAGATCTTGCATGAATATGGCACAAAGCCATAAAGCTACTCTGAAGTAACTGAGTGAGTGTGACTTTGTACATCAGCTCAGAGCTAATCTCACCTCACTAGACTGCCTTTCCTGGGCATAGGATAGAAGCACACTCAGTTACAAGAGCTGACAGAACAAACAACACAGAAAAAGGAATTTAAGGCTAAGTAGCAAGCAGTCAGAATTAAAAGGTAAAGTTCACAAAGCTAGCTTCTGTAGTCCATACTACAAAGATATAATGTTCCTCCTGTTACTGTAAAATTCAATAGCAGACTAACGTAAGGCAGCTGAGCTTCCTCTACAGAGGGCTGGGGAAGCCTGGCTGCTAAATGAAAACAAACTACACTACCATCAACTATGTCTTCAAAATGCTTGAAAGTCCAATACAAGACTCTGCTCAAAACAGGCCCCCAATCTGTGATCAATAACAAGTTTCCCAAATATGGTTCACTAACAGAGTCCTCCAAAAGGGCAGGGGGTAAAAGAGGAAGTCCCTGTGGTTCCCCTAGCAGCTTCCTCCACTACAGCAGTAATCACAGCAAACTGACATCAACTTCAATTTAAATGCCCAAAATACACCTCCTCTCTCTTGCTGTGGTGCTGGCTGGCCTTGAGTGTCCCGCTTCTACATCCCCCGACATAAGATAGCACAACCATTTTAAATAAACAGAAAACCTTGTACTCACTGGCTAGTGGTCCCCAACAGATCACAACTACTCCCTCTTTTTCAGAACAGGTCACCTGGGTCAGGATCCAAGCAGCAAAAATACTCACCTATCTGCCTATTTCACACAGAAGGCCCTTAGACCTTCACAGATTTAAAATACTTTCTTAAAATTCTAACTTATTTATACGTATGGGTATTTTCCCAGCTTGTCTGTGCACCACTTGAAAACGCCAGAAGGGGGTGCTGGAACCCTGGAAGTGGAGTAATAGACCATTAGAAGCCACCTCAAGGAAGTGGGACTCAAACCTAGGTCCTCTGTAAGAGCATGCAATGCTCTTAACTGCTAACCCATCATCTCTCCTGCCCCTAAATTACTCTTGCCCAGAATTTTTTTTCTTTCAAAACAAAAATTTTAAGTATTGGCAGAAAAAAAAATTTAGATAAATACAACAGAAACTTCTGCACAGGCCTTAAAATACATAAAGACAGCTAGCAGGGACCTAATACATGCTCTGTACAGGTCTTAAACTACACAGCATAAAGACAGCAAGAGGCAAGTTGGAAAAAAAAAATTGAAATAATATCTTGCTGTGTTGCCAAGACTGATTTTAAAGATCCAGAGCAGCTGGGACTATAGGTGTGTACTGCCACACCTATATTAGTTGGGACATTTTAAGATTCAAGAACAAAGTCAGACTGAAGGGATGAACTACCTCATCCCTAAGAACTGCATCTCTGAAGAAGTATTTTGTTGCCCACTGGTAAACACTATATTCTCAACTACACAAATCCAAGCGCCATAATGGCCATGCTTTCTGAGATGATCCCCCAAAATATCCACTTTCCCCAGAATTTTGGTGATGGCTTTTAATCTAGGAACCGATAAAACTGCCTATTATTTTCACCAGTTACTCTATATTAATTTGAAAAAGGTTAGGACTGAAAAGTAATACATGAAAATAAAGACATTTAGATGTTGTAACAATGTAAAACAATAATGGTCGGCCAAGAAGAAAAATACCTACAACTGAGTTTTACAGCATCTGCTTTAGACAAAAACATTAAAATGATGCAGGTAAATCTGCATCATTTACTGCCCCTGACAGATAAACCATCTCTCTTTAATTCTGGACTATACTCCAATCCTATCACTGCTCCCCCTCTTTCCTCAGAATCTCACTGTTCATCCGAACGCTATTTATATAATGATAAATACTTATCTATTATAACACTCAGCCAGGTTTAAATCTATCTGACTTTAAATACAAGCTACCATCACACTTAACCTAACAGGGCCTTAATTTGCAACACAGCCCGGACAGTCCTATGCCAAAAATTCAGAACTCCAAACCTCATTTCTTTTTGAGCTTTATGCTACATTCTGAACTTCCAGATTAGGTATGTTCATCTGCCAAACCTACAAATATTCCACAAACTGAACCGATTCTGAACCCAGGCGTTTCTTGTTAAGGCATGCTCAGCCTGTTGCACCTCTATCACAGATTATTGTGAATGGAGTTAAAATATTCGTCAGGAGCTTAACGGAGCCCCTGATGTGTAGTAAGCAGAGATTAGTCACCGAGAGGAGGCAGCTACTATGACGGGGAGGAGGCAGTAACTTAAAAGCATGTAACTTTTAGGACCAAGAACTTCAACGAGGGCTTTTTTTGCTGGGTAATTTGCATATGCCCGTTATGGTAGCGTACGTGCAGGCAGCTACCGCAGAAATTCCTCCAAAAGGCAGCAAAGGAAAGAGTTAGAAAAACGCAAGCCAACGTGCCCCAAGGATACCCCTGGGAGGAGGGGTACTGCTGGCGACCCCCAAACCTTCAGGGGCCCAAAGGTCTGAAGGGCTCAGTGTGTGTCTCTAGGCTGGCTCCGCCTCCACCGCTAGCTCTAAGAGTGAGGCCGAAGCAGGGCGCCGTGTGGAGACCATGCAAAGCCCGGAAGGGCGAGGCGGCGGCCCGGTGGACCCCTTCCTTCCCAGGCGCGGTTTAAGACAAGGCGCACCCAGGCCCACCTCGCTGGGGAGGCCTCGTCCCCTTCGGGAACCGCCTGCGCGGCGTCGCGTGCGCTCTTAGGCGGCGGGAACAAAGCGCGCTGACCTTCAGCCGGGGGCGGGGCGGCGCGGAGGAGGGACGGGCCCGCCATCCGCCGCCACCCGCCCCCCCGACCGCCGACCGGGCCGCCGCCCGCCTCTGCTGGCCGCCATGGTGCGTCGGCCCGCCCGCGCCGCCCACCCCCGCCTCCACCTCCTCCACCCCAGTCCCAGTCCAGCCGCCCGCCGCGCCGTTACCCGCCGGCACCGCACCTCGCGCCTCCTGCGGCAGTGGCGCCCGTGCTAAGCTCGCTCCGGGGCTGCGCCGCCGTGGCTGCCAACAAGACTACCTGCCATTGGTCGCGTCGCCAGGCCCCGCCCTCTGCGAGTAAAACGGGCTGCGAATGAGCAATAGAACTGTATATCAACTGCGCCCAGGCGCCGAGAGAGGCGGCATCCAATCAAAATTCGTTGAGGGGCACGGCACCGAGCTCAAGCCCTCAAGCTCTATGTAAATAGAGTAATGACGTATACTCTGGCGCACGCGCAGTTCCGTGCCTCTTTAAAGGGGCTGCTGGAGGACTTCGGGCTTACGTTTCTGTTGTTCCTGCTGCAACCTGTAGGGTTTGTTCCTCCTGGGCCTATTGGCCGCGCTTTCCCCAAATTTCTTGCAACCCCCAGCCTGGGAAAAGTACCACCTGCTTCTCAAGGTCTTTGGGCCCTCAGTCTACAGTGTCTGCCTGGCCTGGGGCTACCCTGCTGATAATCAGAAAACTTCAACACACCTGTGCTGGCTGGTTTTCCGTGTCAGGTTGACCTAAGCTAGAGTTACCTGAAAGGAGAGAACCTTAATTGAGAAAAAGGCCTTCATAAGATCCAGCTGTAAGGCATTTTCGTAATTAGTGATTGATGCGGGAGAGCCCAGTCTTTTTAGGGGGAGGGTCTGGGTTGATGGCCCTGGGTTCTATTGAAACAAACAAAAACAAAAACCAAGCTGAGAAAGCCAGTCGAAGCAAGCTAGTAAGCAGAACTCCTCCATGGCCTGTGGATTAGCTCCATCTTCCAGGTTCCAGCCCTGCTTGCTTTCCTGTCCTGACTTCCTCCAATGATGAGCTATATGATCTGGAAGTGTAAGCTGAATAAACCCTTTCCTCCCCAACTTGCTTTTTGGTCATGGTGTTTTCGTCGAAGCAATAGAAACCCTAAGACAACACCCGATTAAAAAACTAATAATAAATTGCCTGCAGATAATGTGTGTTTCCCTAAAAAAAGGGTCTTTGAAAACAAAGCGAAGTGTGGTGGTGCTGCATCAGTCCCAGAACCTGTGAGGTAACAGGTGCTAGTGAGAAGATGAGCAGCTTTGTCTTCCAACTATGCAGCAAGTTTAGGGCCAGCCTAAGCAACATGAGATCCTGTCTCAAAAATAAACAAAACTCCATTAAAATGAAGTGTGTTACTGAAGGACAAAAAGTTTACAGCACTGTTTTACTGTATTATTTCTCTCTGATGCTTAAATTGGAACTATGTACTTTATAAAAGTTTTATTTGCAAAACTAAGAAAAGCAAATAAGCTTATCAGTTTTTACTTAATTTTTATTCAGGGAGTGAGGTGTGCTTAAAGCAGACAACTACAGAAAATAGTTTGACAGCCAGGGACTCCATTTGGTTTGGGCTATTCACACTCTTGATAATAACATCTTGATAATACCCCTGGGCTGTGATGGCACACACCATTAATCCCAGCACTCAGGAAGCAGAGGCAGTCAGATCTCTGTGAATTCAAGGCCATCCTGGTGGGCCTGTCATAAAGTATTTCTGAGCTATACTATTACTTCCCTTTTGTATACTGTTTCCTTGCTACTTCACAATTTATATGTACCTTTATTTCAACTCCTTGAACAAAACACTTAGCCCCCAACAACTGGTAACAAGTTTAATAAAGATATTTCATTATTTGATATTTTTGAGACAGGGCCTCACTATATAACCCTGGCTATCCTGGAACTCCCTGTGTAGATCAAACAGGCCATGAACTCAGAGATATCTGCCAGCTTCTGCCTCCTAGATACTAGGATTAAAGGTGTGCACCACCATACCTGGATTAATAAAGCTATTTGAATATAGCTTGAAGCATCGGGGTTAAGAGAGGTGCTCAGAGCTTGGTAGCTTGGGAGGTGCTTGAGAAGCAGAGGCAGGCGAATCTCTGTGAATTCAAGGTCAGTCTGGTCTATAAAATGAGTCCAGGACAGCCAAGGTTATACAGAAAAATCCTGTCTCAAAATAAAGAAAGGAGGGAGAGAGGAAGGGAGGGAGGAAGGAAGGAAAGAAGGAAAGAAAGAAAGAGGTACTCAGAAGAGGTGTGTGGAAGGAGTCTAAAGCATGACACTACTTAATCTTTAAACCTTACTAAAATTTTAATATTTTTGTTTGTTTTTCTCGACAGCTTTCTTAGTGTAGTTCTGACTGTCCTGGAGCTAGCTTGCTTTGTAGACCAGAGGCCATCCTTGAACTCAGAGATCCACCTGCCTCTGCCTCCCAAGTGCTCAGATTAAAAGCATGTGCCACCATCACTTGGCTTAAATTTATCTTTAACTGTTGCTGTAAATTACATCCTCTGAGCAATCTGACTTAGCCACAGGATCATTTCAACAAGCTTCTCTTAAGGTAGGTTTGCCCGGCTTTCCGCAGACTGCATTCCATGTCTTGAATATGGACTGTGTCTTTCATCCAAGACTGTCCCTCTTGCTCAATGCCTACACTTAAATCCAAAGCACGAGCCATTTATCTCTGCTTAATAAGCTTGCTAGGTTTGATTCAGTATGACTTTTCCTGTACCATATGCAGGACTATGACTTTCTTGCACCATAGTCAAGGATCCAGTTTTATGTGAGTGGAAGGAAATGCGTCAGGCTAATGGTAGCAGTGCTAGGCTACATCTCTTCATTGCTGCTGACTAGGGTATCAGGGAGGTAGTCCCTCTATATAGCCTAGGGCTGGGGTAGAGAGTGGGTTACCAGCCCAGCCTTCCCATGCCAGTTTATAAAAAAGCATCCAATTTGGCTAGCAAATAAGGTTCCCAGGCAGGGATGTATGAGTTGTTTTCATAGAAATTAGTCCTTTTGGGTGATGGAGAGATGGGCAGTGGCTAAGAGCTCCCTTCCAGTCCAGAGGACCTGAATTCAATTGCCTGCACCCACATGGCAGCTCACAACTGTCTGTAACTCTGGTTCCAAAGGATCTGACACCCTCACACAGACACACATGTAGGCAAAGCACCAATGCACATGAAATAAAAATGATTTAAAAAGAAAAAGGGAAATTAGTCCTTTGGTCTGGTGAAGGTTGCTTTCCAAACAATTTGCTGCACTGTTTATAACAGTGCAAGCCAGTAAGCTGAAGGCTCCTGTTGGAGGAGATGACAACAGGGGTTGCTGTCTTAATTGGCTTTTCACCCTTTAAAGGGTTTATTTTAACTCACAGTACAAGGTACACTCAGTCTATCGTGATGGGGAAGTCAAGGTGACAGGAGCTTGAACCAGTTAGCCACATTACAGTCACAAACAGCAGCGCTGGTGCTCAGCCCACTTGCCATTTCATACAGTCTAGGATCCCCCCAACCCCAGGAAATGCTCCTACCCATAATTAAGAGGGGTCTTCCCACATCAGTTATCCTAAAGAATATAATCGCTGAGGTCCATCTCCCAGGTGATTCTAGTTTCTTACATTGGCAATGCTGGCCATGACAGCTGGTTACAAACCTCAACAGTATTCAGATTGTGTCCCACTGAGTTAACTATTTATGGGCATGCCTTCCTCTTCCTTCACCACCATGCTTTTGCTTTGGGTGAGAGTGAGAGAGAGGCGAAGAAGCACAGACAAAAGAAAGTAGAAGGAACAACAGCATTTTCAAGTCCTGCTAAGTCTCAAGCCTACTTTCTGTCATGGCATCTCTCCCACCTGGGTGTTGGGGTGGGTGCCATCAAGGTAGGAGCCCCATAGGAGCTGGTGCTGGCTTCCTGAATCTGACCGAGGTGGGTGACTGTGTGAGGTCTTTCCCTGCCGTGATTTGACCAGGAAGTGGGCAATATTCTCCCCAAACCTCCCATCTGTAAGGACTTTGAGAATGTTCTACTGCTTTCCTGACTTGGTATAACCAAGTAGTTCAAGTTGGGTGTCTTACTAACCAGAAATGTACTTTGGAGACTAGACTGAAATGAATATGTGGCAATTAGTTATACCCCAGGAGGTTTGGGATAGGGGCCTCCTCCTTGAATCCTCCACCACCTGAGGCTCCAGGCTTTCCGCGGCTGGTGTTTGCAATACTATAATCCCATGGCTGTCTGTACATGGCCTTTCCTTAGGTCCAAATCCTAGATTTACCCTCATGATTTCATTCTCTAGGGCCATCTCCAGATGGCACCTGCATAGGCACCAGGAACTGGGTCTTAAACAGAACTATGGGGGTCCCTGTGCATCTCACCTGACGTTAAAGCAGGGTGTTTGTAGTTGTCCTACATGTCAGAGGTTAAAGGGTAGGGACTCTCGGGTGAGACCCTTACCTAGCTGGTGACCCCGAGCAAGTGTCTGTGCCTGTTTCCCCATGTGCCTACTTCAAGAGGTTTGGGTGGGTTAGAGCAGCACCAGGTGAGCTGTCAGCTTAAGGCCACTATTAGCTGTTCTCCCTGGCTCCTGTCCACATATGTAGCAATAACAAGAAATGGAATCTATACCCAAGGTCCCAGCAGCCAGAAACTTGCAGCCTAGTAGATCCCTTTAATCCCAGCCCCCAAAGTGGCTCAGCCCACACCAAGCCCATGGGGGACATCTGGTCCTCCACAGGCCCTGTGCTCAGGAAAGTAAATGCTGGAGGCAGCCAGGAGCAATGCAAATGTGGGATTTATATGCTGGGCTAAAGACCAATTCTGGAAACTTTTCCCCCATGGAATTAAATCCAGGGCTTTGGCACATGCGAAGCAAGCTGTATTTTTTTTTTTTTTTTGGGGGGTGGCCTTGTTAAATTACCCAAGCTAGCTTTGAACTCACTCCATGGCTTGGACTAGCCTTGAACTTTAGCCTCCCAAGTAGCTAGGAATTGCAGTCTGCACCACTACACCTACCTCTAACAGCATTTTGAATGGCTAAAAAGACCAGTTCATAAGTTCACACAGTAGCTTAGATACCACCTGAAGGCCACCTGCCTGCACCTGGGGCTGTCTGTGCCCTGGCTGTCCCTCTTAAGAGTTTGAAAGAACCCAGGCATGGTGCCACATGCCTTTAATCCTTTAATCCCAGCACTCTGGGAGGCAAAGGTAGACAGATCGCTATGAGT